TGATAAGCTGGAGGGAAGGAATGCCATCCAGAGGGACCCTGACATGTTTGTGAGGTGGGCTGATGCCAACCTCATGAAATTTAACCACGGCAAGTGCAAGGTCCTACACCTGGGTCGGGGCAATCCAGGCACAGCTACAGGTTGGGCAGGGAAGAGGTTCAGAGCAGCCCTGCGGAGAAGGACTTGGGGGTGTTGGTCGATGAGAAAATGAACATGAGCCGGCTTCAGTGTGCGCTCATAGCCCAGAAAGTCAACTGTATCCTGGGCTGCATCAAAAGGAGCGTGACCAGCAGGTCGAAAGAGGTGATTCTGGCCCTCTCCTCTGCTCTTGTGAGACCTCACCTGGAGTATTGTGTGCAGTTCTGGTGTCTTCAACATAAAAAGGACATGGAACTGTTGGAACAAGTCTAGAGGAGGGCCACAAGGATGATCAGGGGACTGGAGCAGCTCCCGTATGAAGACAGGCTGAGAAAGTTGGGCCTGTTCAGCCTGGAGAAGAGAAGGCTGCGTGGAGACCTCATAGCAGCCTTCCAGTATCTGAAGGGGGGCTACAGGAGTGCTGGAGGTGGACTCTTCATTAAGGACTGTGGTGCTAGGACAAGGCGTAATGGGTTAAAACTCAAACAGGGGAAGTTTAGATTGGATATAAGGAAGAAGTTCTTTACTGTAAGGGTGGTGAGGCACTGGAATGGGTTGCCCAGGGAGGCTGTGAATGTGCCATCCCTGGCAGTGTTCAAGGCCAGGTTGGACAAAGCCTTGGGTGACACGGTTTAGTGTGAGGTGTCCCTGCCTGTGGCAGGGGGGTAGGAACTAGATTATATTAAGGTCCTTTCCAACCCTAACTATTCTATGATTCTGTGATTTAACAAACAGATTTTTTTTTTTTTTAAACAAGTTAAAATCTCATTCTGTAAAGAAATATCACTAAAATAATGTTTGCTTCAAGCCAAATGTTCCTTTTGTGCCTATAGAAGGCTACGCAATTATTAGTCTTTTCTTTCCCTTGTGTACTGACAGCCATAATCACCTGCATCCAAATACCACGACTGAAGTCTACACTGCTGACACTTCAAATGTTTATCTTTAAAGATTAATGAACATCAGATTATATCCAGCCTTTAGGACAGGGACCAGGATGAAAGTCAAAGAACTTTAAATTTGATTACACAAATATTACCCAGCAAATTTATTGATTCGCTTCCAAGGCAAACAACAACCTTTACAAGTATGTGTTTAACTTTATATTCACAAGCAATCAGTCCTAAGCATATATAGACAACTTCCATTCACAAGTAATAAAAAATACACTGTTGGGTGACATAACTGAAAAAAACTGGTACGAGATATTTAGAGTTAAAAAGATGCACATATGAACAGAAGACTAACTTTGTGTTCCTGCAAATTTTCCTATCTTCCTGGCCACACTATTAATCAATGAAGTTAATATAGATATGATGACTTAAATCAGATGAAAGTATCATGTAAGTGTTAGGCGTCATTCACATACCTACAGAGATATCCTTGTATTTATATAGAACCATAGAATGGCTAGGTTTGGAAGGGACCTTAAAGGTCTAGTTCCAACCTCTAGTTCCAAACTGCCTGCCATAGGCAGGGACACCATCCACTAGACCAGGTTCCTCGAGGAATATAGGCACAAATACATATTCGTATATGTATATATTAATGCACACATACCTGTTTATACATGTGTATTCCTGTATGTATATACACACCCATAGGAAGTGAGCATCTGACTCATTCAGTTCACAAGATAATTAGATTACATAATTATAAATAACTGAGCAAAGACCAATTTACAAACTATATCCATCTGCCTTAATATTAAAATTAGCATGTTTAGAATTTTACTTATAACATCATAAATACTTATGCAATTTTATATGATACCTGCTCCTACACCTTTTCTTCAAACAGAACTTGTGGTTTAATTTTTCACCCACTGAAAATAAAGAGTGCATGGAATACATCTGCTGTCTTTTACTCAGTAGTCCCTCAAAACAAATCCTATGCTTACTCACTCAGCTTTTTCCTTTTTTTTTTCCTTTCTCTCCTGGAAAGAAACATTTGCAAGGACGGATCCTACTATACAGTGGAGCTTTACCCTGGGCAGTGAAAAAACACTTTGCTTTATCTCTTCCTACCAATGTTAAAAATAAGCTTCTCTTTCTAATATTTTACAGCAGGAAAATTAAATTCACCCTTCTCTGAGCATCTCAAAGTGTATTTCATAACTAATTGGATTTTGTAATGAGCTTAAATATATTTAAGTATTCAGCAACTTTTGCTTAATACATCATAGAACTAGAAAATGCTGATTTATTTTTTTTTTTCCAGTGGTTGGATAACAGTAGCGAGACACACTTACTTAGTATAAGCCTTTGAAGCTGCAAAAAGCTAGGGATATTTGCTTTTATGCACATTCTCATAATTTTATTTTTTTAGTAACTGAAGGACCAAGTGAAAAAGCTGCAAAAAAACCCAAAACAAACCGAACCATCAACTTCGATAATTTTATCCTACTGAGCATCAGACAGATAAGCTAATTAAGTATTTTTCACTCAAAATGACGATAACTTGGTTGTGACTGACTGGGCTTTAAGCATGTGCAATCTTATCTACTGGAAAACTGGATTTAGCTTAACTTAAATTCCTAAAACAATACTGGAATAAATACATACTCAGACTATTCCCAAGCATTTAAAGAAAACATGAAAATATTATAGCCAACTCCAATACGTCAAGAGCTTATGTCATCAAACCAATCTTCTATTTAAGTTAGTAAATTCTTTCTCACTTTGACTATAACTTTCTTGTAAATATAACTTCTATATAGTAACAATAATTTTTATAATATAACTTCCTTGTAAAGCATGAGGGAAGCGTAGTCCACCTGCAGTTATTGTTAGGTGAGTGCAAACTAGTTAGGAAATCCCATACAGATGTTGGTTATAAGTAGTTCATTAGAACTACTTATGTGGAACTCCAGTGTGGAAAAGGTATTTGATGAGGTTCCACAGATGCCTGTCCTAGGTCCAGTTTATTAATTATCATTTTCATTAAGGATCTGAATTACAGGATAGAAAATGCTTTTAAAATGTTCAAATAATACCAAAGTAGGAAAAAGAGAAAGCATGTTGAAGGACAATTCAGAATTCAAAGCAATATTGACAATTTCTAGAAACTGCCTACAAACTACAGGATGCTACCCCATGCAAAAAGAAAACAACATATTGCATTTTGGCAGAAATAACTGCTGATCTCAGAATGGAGAAAGAGTAGCTGGTTAATGGTTCTTCAGAAAAGAATTTAGAGATTACTGAAGGTCATCATGAACTGAACTGAATATGAGTATGCAATTTAAGTTGAAACGAAGAATGTGAATGTCATACTTGAAAGTACAAATGGAACCACTTGTAAGAAAAACAAGTGTTTTTTTTTTATCATTGATAGGAACTGAAATTTTAAAACTGAATTCAGCTCTGGGTGTTGCAGGCAAGACAGATATGGCAACAATTCAGAGGAAAACAGTGTGAATTACAAGCAGCCTAGAAAACATGAGGACATACTGAAAAAAAAAAGTGTGATGTTTCAACTACAAAAGAAGATGAGAAAAATAACCCAGGACAATCACTTCTTAAGGGGGTGGGGAGGGGAGAGGGAAGGGGACATGAAGGAGGGGAGGAGGAAGGGGAGACGTGGTTTACGTCCAGGTTTTTGTTAGGAAATTAGGCTATCTTTCAAGACACACCCATTCTGTCAGATATTTACAGGAATTGCACAGTTTCCAAAAAATATTTCGATTTCTGTGAATCTTTTTTCTCTCTAAGAAAAGCCATTCTATTCAAGAAACCAGCCACAGACTGAGCTCAGAGTTGGAATAGTTTCAACCCACAAAGTCAAACTTAAAAATAAAACTGTGATAGCTATACAAACCATATATATTTTAAGCAATGGTTAGGCCTCCACTACACTGTGGAATTCAAACTGAAAGAGAGATTTTATTCAGTTACTTGAGGTTCACTCATTGCTTGTCTTCCTACAACATGAAAGGATGTAATACAAATATAGGAAAACACTTTTTTCTATACCCAGACTACGATACACACACAAAGCCTTCAGCTGTGAAAGATAATGTATATGTTTTTAAACATAGAAACAAGGTTCATCTTGATATGAGAAAGTAATATTTACAGTGAGAGCAATAATTCACTGGAACAGCCTCCCCAGGGATGTGGTAGGGTCCCCATTACTGGAGTTTTTCAAGATGTGATTTGACAAGGTGCCTGAATGATCTCATCTTGGCAATCTTTCCCATGAAAGTTTGGGCCAGAGATCTCTTCCAGCCTGGGCTGTTCTACGATTCTAATTACTTCTGTTAATATCTTTTCTAATTTCAGAGTCTCACAGTTTGAGGATACAGATTAATGAATGGAGAAAAGGAGCTTGTGGTAAGATACAAATCTGAAGCAAACACCAATGTGGCAGTTGTGTACCAACAAACTGGGTGCCTTTTTCAGTCAAACTATCAAAAGGTAGTTTTTAAAAAGGACACAAAAAATATAGGGCATTTTATCCAAGGATTAAACTGAACTACTCATTTATACCTCTTAAATCAACTCAGTTTGTGTAACCACAGATGCCATTCTATTCAAACACTGATGGCCTGAGGCAGCATTACAAGTCTTGCCAAAACCAAGCAAAATGAAGTAAGGTCAAACCCAAAGAAACTTTGCACTGAACAAATGCATCCTTTAAACTTGTGTTTTGTTTTTCATCTGATGGAGTACTCTCAATAGTAGATGGAATGTCAGAGGAAACAGATCTGTGGATAATTACAGATTTTTCTGTCTTCCTATTTGCAGCTCCAAAAATTAAAATTGTAAGAATTTTAAAACTTCTTTCAAATTATGGTTGCAAATCAAAGATGGCTGTCTAAAATACTGGTAAAATACAGCTTTATGACCTCAGTGACTTACCTTGTTCCTCTTTGATGAGGCCCATATTTGCATGTGCTTGTGCCTCTCTTTTCCTGATATCAGTTGTTATTAGTTTAGCAGTGTTAAAGCATTCCTCATGAAAGTAATTACTTAACCACTTGTCCTCAGGGTCATTGAAATAGTAGGCCAAGTTAAGCTGGTTATCATACACCTCCTCATAGTGCCCTTCAAGAAAAAAAAATACAATCAAAATGTTAGATTATTATCAGCTTTCAGAAATTTTACAAATTACAGCAATAATCATGTAATGAAAATTAGGAGCTATTTATATTTCCACCACTCAAATGCCAAGTTCTCCTACATGTCCACTCAAAGAAATATAAGGGGAAAATGATAACCTTACAGATTAGGCAGAACTGAGAACTTTACAAAGCCACAATAAATTGCTCTTATTTCTGTATGCAAACCCAAAATTCAGTTCAATAAAACATGTAGAACCTAGATAAGGCAAAAGAAAGAAGCTACAGTGAGCAAAAAAAAGTACACAGTCACTTCCAGGGAAGTGTTTGTCTGAGCCGCTTAAACCTGAAAAGGCACTGAGAGCATTCAAAACAGGTCTAAGGGGGTGACTATGGTGATGGAGATAAAGAGACAAGTAGATCACTCTGCAGTCAAAACCCATTAATTCATACAATTTTAAATGTTTAAAGAAAGTCTTTCTTCTAAGTCTTACTGCTTTCATTTATATTCCCATTTTTAGCATCCTCAGAAATTAAGGACAAAGAAATTTTACACCTTGCCATGAAAAAGACAGGTCACTAGGTATTGCTCTCAGAACAAGCGTGGAAAGTAGGGGAGACTCCTTTATGATCTGAAGAAAAGACATGATCCTGCTCTTTATCATCTCAGACAGCTAAATGAACACACACTAATGCTAAAATTTATACAACAAATGCAAGTCACAAATCTAAGTAATATTACAAACTTATCAATAAATATATCATTCACAATTTAAAATTTCAGAATAAGAGCCTCCATGGAATTAGTTCTTTCTCTCAGAAAAGCACCTAAAAAAAAAAAAATCCACAAAAAAAATCTTCTTTGAATTATTCCAAAACTATATTAATTTGGAGTAGAGATCTAACACTTATGTGACAACTCTTACAATATCTTATCCCTAAGGAAGATCTGAAATACATGTTCCCTACAGCATTGTCCTGGGTTCAGCAGTAGCAGTCATTTTTCTCCTTAGTAGCTGGTGCAGTGCTATGATTTTGACTTTCAGCCTGGGAACAGTGCTGATAACACCGATGTTTTTAGCTCAGTAATGTTTACCCTGACCAAGGACTTTGTGAGTCTCATGCTCTGCCAGGGAGGAGGGGAAACCAGGAGGAAGCAGAGACAGGACGCCTGACCCAAACTAGCCAAAGAGGTATTCCATACCACAGCATGTTGTGTCCAGTACATAAACTGGGGGCAGTCACCCCAAAGGGCTAGATCACTGCTCGGGTCAGGCTGGGTATTGGTTGGCAGGTGGTGAGTGGTTATATTCTCTTCCCTTGTTATTTCCCTTATCATTATTATTGTTGTTGGTAGTAGCAGTGGTTTTGCGTTATATCTTAGTTACTGGACTGTTCTTATCTCATCCTGTGGGAGTTACATTATTGCCATTCTCTTCCCCATCCCTTTGGGAGCAGGGTTAGGAAGAAGAGGGGGGAGTGAGTGAGCAGCTGCATGGTTCTGAGTTACTGGCTGGGCTTAAACCATGACAAACATGAACCTATATGTTTCACAGCTAAATTTATCACTAGCTGAACTAAGATTTTCTTTCAACACTCTGCTTGTGTCAGATGTGAATAGAGGATAGTTAGCTAAAATTCCATGGAAGCTTTGATTTGCTATTTATTGTGTTTGTGGCTGCTAAATGAATGTAAGCCGAACAGCTACTTCTTAAAAGAATTTTCACGTAGTTGGGTAAAGATGTTGTTAAGAAGCACAAGTCTTGCAGCAGGTAAGAGACTGTGTGCTAGATGTGTGAACAGCACTGCTTTTCTTTGGGAGTTCTGCAATTTGTAAGCTTTGCTCAACAAAGAGAAAAGGGGGAAAAGGAACACTGGGCTATTGAGCACCACACAGAAATCAAGAGGAAAAAACCAATACTTCAGTACAGGCAAGATCTCACACAAAGTCCTTATCTTCTCTAAGTGTTTTAAAATCATGATACTGTATCAAAACAAGTTTGAAGAAAAGTTTTGAAGAAGAAGTTAAATTCTGGTCTTTTGTTATCTGCAGGAATAACTGGGGAAAATCCAACTTTCAAAAAGGACTTCTGACTGTGAATTCTATCAATCATCGGCGCAAGTCACTTCTATTGTTTGGAACAAACAGCCGCAATTACTCAATAAAGTACTTGGAATGTATCACTAAACCACACAAGAAAGTGTTTCCTCAGCCTCATCTCTAGCATCTCTTGTCCCAAAAGTCAAAATGAGAAATTATGTATTGTATAATAGGAAGTAATCTTAATCTCCTCCTATTCTGTCTGTTGTCATGATTGTAGTGATAGGACAAGAGGTAATGGGTCCAAGTTTAAACAGGCGGAGAAGGTTAGATATAAGGAAGAAGTTCTTTACGGCAAGGGTGGTGAGGCACTGGAACAGGTTGCCCAAGGAAGTGGTAAATGCTCCATTCTTGGCAGTGTCCAAGGCCAGGCTGGACAGAGCCTTGAATGACACCACCTAGTGTGAGGCATCCTGGCCCATGGCAGGGGGATTGGAACTAGATGAGCTTAAGGTGCTTTCCAACCCAAACCATTCTATGATTCTGTGATTCTATGACTAAGTTCTTTGACTGCAGAACATATTGATAAAGCTTTCCAGTGCATTGCACAACACTGTAAGAACTTTATTCTGCCTTCTGAAAATATTCTGTTACCACCTAGTCATGTTGCAGTCTTCAAAAAGTTTATCTAGTATTTGTTTCTCCCTCGTCTTTATCTATTCCAGCCATTTTGGAGAATATTCCTGAATTTTCCATGCTTAATTTTCTGAAATCAAGCTGATAAGTTTTTTCCTCATTCTTGAACAGTCTCTGGTTTTGTCTTTTGATTTACATGTTAATTTACCTTCTTTAATGCTAAAAATTACTTTTCATTGCTTTAGCCTTTTTAGCTGTTATTTTGCTGTCCTATTTATTTTCTCACAGTTTTTCCTCCATGAAGTAGTACCTCATATTTCTACCTTTTAAATAATTCTTATCAAAATATATAAAATTATGATTTTTGAACCAGTTTGTGTTACATACATTTCCATTTTTAGTATTTTAAATAATACCCCTTCCAAGAAATAAGAGTGTTTCACAGTCTCTTTAGAATCCCCCAAATAGAAATACCCCATAAATTACATCTAGATTATAATGTCATGCTTTCATTTGTATTTAAGGTTTGATACCAAAACATCAGTTTAAGTTTGGAAATTTGGCTTTGAGAAGAATAATAATCTACATACAGACTTCATCTATTCCTGATCAGAACACTCTTCATGGCTGTGAGTTTTCATGCTTTTTGTTCCCCCTTCAGGCCAAAAAAGTACCTTTTAGGTACCTCTTCTGCAGAATATGCAGGAATGTACATCATATAAAACTTATTCATGCATTAGAAATGAAGAATATTGTGGTAAAATAGCCTCATAAAAATCTCTGCAAATGATACTGCAATGGAAGTAACAGAACTGATTTGGCCTTAATATATGTATATCTATCTGTGTATGTGCACACATAAATCTCTGTATATTTAAGCACATCTGTACATATGCATAGATTAAAAAAATCAAGACACAGTTGGGATTCACCCAAACTAACCGATTTAGATATAGGTATGGGTTGCCTATGATCCCTTTACTCTCATTGAAGAAAAGCAGACACTTGGCTATGGTTTATCTATTGCAGCAGAAGGGAGTGCTTTTAAAGATTATTTCAAAAGTAAAAGGCAGAGGTTCCAACGATGATTACAAGTACATAACAAATAACTACATGAACAGAGAAATACAAAACCTAATTATAACAACCAACATAAAGATAACAGTACACATTATATAGAGATTACAGCTAAATGCAAATGAATTTAGAAGATACCAGAAGATACATAAAAATGGTTACAATAACACAGTAAGAGGAAAGATAATTGGATTGTCATTGGAGTAGAACACTAGATACAGATTTGTTGCCTTTGAAATCTTTGCTACAAAGTATCAAGGCACTAATGCTACATAAAATTACGCAAATAACTTCAGGTAGTGCCCTACAAATCCCAAGAGAGGGAATTGACCTGAGGCAGACTATTGCTACTGCCACAGCTTTGATTGAATGAACTTTAATGTGACCCTCTGATGACTATCCTGCCAGTGAATAACAATGAGAAGTGCACAAAGACAACCATTTCTCTGTAATTGTCTTGGACAGGGGCTGACCAGATATGCTGGTTATAAAATAAACCCCAAAGAGAGATTTTAAAAGACATATTGTATTCTGGATTTGAACTCTGATTTACAAATCAAGAAATTCATTAAGATTGTTCCGACAGCAGTAGAGCTAGCACATCAGACTTAGTAAAAGTGAACTTTTACCTCCCCAGGAGAAGAAATGTATTAAAATAGGTAAATACTCTTTTCTATAAAATATACCATAGTTAGTTCAGTCATTAAGTCTTTGAGCTCTGAATTTTTGTATTTTTCTACAGCTGATAACAGAATGTATGTTGACAAGTAATCATTATGTATCTGTTGAGATATATATATATATAAAAAATTATCTGCATCACTTATCAAACAGAGGCTGATGGCACTGGAATGTGATACCAATGAACAGAAACAGAGGTCTGAATCACACAAGCAATTGTAAAATGGTTCCTGCAAGGCAAATTCCTGGTTTTAAACAAGAAACAATTAAGAAAGCACATAAATAAAAGTTCAAAGGCCGATCCCATTAGTATGTCCAAAATTATATTCATTTCATAAAACACTGGAAGCTAAATTCATGCGGAACATTGTCTTTACTGAAGATCTGAAGCAGGGCTAAGAGCATATCTTATCAGCAATTATCCAACAGAACATTTTTTCAATGCCAAATTACCAAATTGAAGGTAGTAATATTTCACAAAAGCAGAAAACAAATTAAAAGTCGTGCTGTGTTACAGTATTTATTTTGTAGTATTTTAATATTTTTATGTT